AATTCCAGTCTTGTCTTATTTAAAATGCCGTTAAATCTTTTATTAAATTGTATGAACCACCTTAGAGGCTCGAATACACTTTAATTTAACTCTGGGTGGAAACAGTCAACACAATTTCAGTTTTCTTGTACTTTTGTTTAATTGTTAAATAGCCTACATATTTGCAGTCGTCATTTAATGAACTATCTTAATTAAACACTATGATTATATGTTGTATTGTGTGCAATTGAACTTGTTATGCATATGTTATTGAACTTAACTGTAATGGGTAACACCAGTCAGTCATACTTCTAGTGAATTGATCAACTTTTGTATATGTGTGTGTTCTTATTTTTAAATTGATTATTGTATTCACGGTGGTCTTTACAAGTTTTGTTATTCTTATGTGATCTCCGTAAATCCGCACAATCTGTTTTTTTTCATATTGTGTTTTCGGATTTTAAATAAATAGAATTTTGAATTTTGAGAGAAACAAAGATGAAAACTACCACTTTCGCGCGAGAGGGAAACACTCTTCTATTTTGAAGCTGGCATTTTTATTCTTTTCTAATAAACTGTTTGACTTTCTAGTTTTTTGTGTGGCTTTGGTTTCGTAGATAGATTATCAATTGTTTCACGTGCAAAGAGGGCAGGATTCGAAATGTTAATCGATTTTTTTATCCAATTACTTTTAAAAAATATTCGAATTACTCGATTACCAAAAAGTAACTTAGGAAGAGTATGTAACGAAGTATTGTAACGAAGAACTCGCCAAGTACTTTTTACTGACTACCCAATTGTCTCGTTAACCAATTGTTTCGTTATCCAATTGTCCGTTACCCAATTGTCCATTACCGAAATGTAATTACCCAATTGTCAATTACCCAATTGCCCTAGAACCAATTTTCTCCAACACATCAACTCATTCGGATTTTTTAACGTTTGGCGGCCGGTAACCACAGAGTCTGTTAGCACTGTGGTGTCATCTATGAAGGCCTTTAGTGAGGGTATGTGAACTCCCTTTCCAGATGAGACTTTTGCACCACCGGCTGCGTCAAGCAGAATTTCCATAGCCAGTACAAAAGCGATTGTGATATTGCACAGCCCATGGCTATTCCAACCTTCAAATCTTCCCATTTGGTTGTAAATTTTTTTGTTGTGAAACACATTTTGAAACCCTCAAAGTAATTATGCAAGTATGTATGTACGTACTTATGCATGTATGTGTGTATGTTGGGATGTTTGTAAACAACTGCTAGTTCTCATGTTATCGGGACAATTATGTTAATGAGCAAACCTATCAGGTCTCGAAGTTTTAATTATAATATAATAGTCCTTTTTTCTTTTTATGATTTAGTTTGGTTTTAAATACGATTTGAAGTTGTGCTAATCGGTTTTTAAACAGTTTTTAGAGATTTAATTCTAGATTTAAACAAAATGAGAGAAATGTAACTGATTTTTAATTGAATTGAACAATATGGAAAAATACACTTACGTGCACTATTGAACAATTGCTGCGGCTTAATAATGATAGCTTAAACCCGGGATACATTGTTTTTATAAAGACTGGAATCCTCGAAAACTCGAAAAAAGAGAATGTTTCATAAGAGTTGTTTAAAAAATGGGGAATTTTTGAAATATAAAGCTGCTTTTACAGAAGTGGTTTTGGACGTCGGGGTGACATAGTTAAACTTGGTCTGCTGATTGTAAGGTCAGCTGCTGATTGTCAAATAAATCGTTGGCAATCAATGATGTTTCGTTGCATGGCAGAATCAATGTTATGGTGCTAAAGGAAACATTGTACAAATTATCAGATGACGACAGTAAAATCTACGTTGCCACCAGGTTATTACTGACATCGTTTGAATGTTTATGCATTCGAATTTCAACAACAAATGCAACAATTATATTCTGATGGCAGTATATCGACTCGGCTCAAGAGTTTCTGACAAGTTGTTTTTTGATGAACTGGCGCACATGGTCGAGGGATTGACTGGAAACAACATTCGGTTGTTGATGGCTGTCGATTTTAACATTCATTTGGATAACTTTGATGATTTGAATGCTGGAGGATGGAAGATTTTTTTACATTTGATATGGTGCGACTCACATAAGGAACGGAACGGTGAACTTTGTAGCCGCCTATTCTAGTTTTAGCCCTCGACTTTTACGGTATGAAAATATTTCTAATTAAAATATAAAAATGATAATCAGGAGTGTGACTTACATGGCTGAATTGACAAAACTTATACGGTAAAACCCTAAACTGTTAAAAAAAACTATGACACACACATCAAAATCCGTGACTTTAGATCTCACTAAAATTGCTTACAATTTTTTTTTGCTAAAATAAGAATTAATGGTTTATACAAAGTAATTATGATTTATTTAAAGTTATTTTTCTATGTGTATTTTCATAAATAATTCAATTATATTATTTTTTTCAGAAGAACAAGCATTAGCAAACAAAACATCTTCAAGTGTTCCTTATGCTGATCCAACCAGTACCCCAGCTGAATTGAAAAATTCACCTGATTATACATTGCTTCCTGTACCTGACTTACCTGTTGGTCACAGTCAGTCCATTAATGACGATGAAAAACATGTTTTTTCTAATCAAGTTGGCAATGTTTCAAACTTACCAATTTTTTAAATATTGAATATATTTGATTATACTGTAAATGTTTTAATTCTGTCGCAACATTTTTTTGAAATTTATGATAAGAAATTTGTTTCCCCGCTTATTGTACAAACTTAAATACAAAATGCTTTTTAAGGATAGCTTGCGTGATATATGTGGAATCTAATGACTAAAAATGAAAAGTGTGAGGTTCGACTTATAAACACTTGGGAAAATATGAATAACTTTTCACCACAGTTTAAAAAGAAAATTTGGATAACAAAAGATTGTTTTTGTTTAGCCGTGATCATGATGCCGTAACATAACAAGTTTGGTAGGGATAAAAGCCAAGCAGATTTTATTGCAAAAGTGTTTTAGTTTACTTGAAGGAGTAGAATGTTGAATGAAAATTAAAATGAGCATAATGTTAAAATCTGAATCATAATACTAGGAGACAGGGCTTTGTAGCAAGCACTTTTTTGAGTTGCTTCGCTTCGCTTTGAGTGTGTTTTGAAGCCAATTAACAAAAAAAAGAAGTTGTTATTGTTTTTTTTGTACAGTTAAATTGATGAAATGAAATAAACAAAAATTTAAAAAGAAGAAGTCTTTAAAGATCATACAAACACAAGGTAATTAATCAGGTAATGAAAATCAATCAATCAGTCATTCTAATAAACAAAATAGCAGGAAGCAAATCTTCTTTCATTGATTGCCTATTATCACTTAATATTAATTTTAATGCTGAAAACATTTATGAAAAGATAAAGCAGTTGTTCAACACTAGCTTGTGATGTCGACATGCTTGCAACATTCTCAATAGCTTTACAATCTTTTTCAAAATGTCTTACAATCATTTTTAATATGTGATTTTATGGAAATTTTGCGAGTATTTTCTCTTCTGTCCTGTTCATTTTCAAAATCATTGTCATCTTCACAAATTACATTTAAATCACATGTTGGTTGTGTCACGTTAACAAATGTCGACTCTTGTTGAATGAAATAAATTTTTTCTTTTCGATCGCCATTGAATATCTGCCAAACTTTCTCTTGCTTTGATTTTCTCTGCTTTACTTAATAGGATTCTGTATCTGACATCAACATACACTCCAACCTTTCAACTTTCTCTAAATTATTTGAACGCGTTGTCTTGAACAGAATTCTCACTCATATTACTTCATCTCCTAATTTCTAATTGAGGAAATAGTGACTAATTGACAACCTTATTTTTCGGAAAATAAATTTATTCGAAAATAATGACTATTTAAAAACATGCATTATTGCCTGATTACGTATGCATGCATAGGTTTTAATAAGGTAATGATTTACAAATTCGTTCAATATTCTACTCATTTAAGCAAACTAAAATACTTTTGCAGTAATAACCTTATTTTATATTTAAACAACCTTATTTTTCAGAAAAAGAGATTTGAAAATAAAAACTTTAAAAACATTCATCTTTATAATTAGCATGAATTTCAACTACAAAAGTTTATAAAACAATATGTTAAATATTCGCGAATAAAATAAATTGCTTTAAATAAGTTGTATAATGGTGGTTCTGGGTTTTGTACTTTTCTATCTCAAGCATTGTATTAAGTTACTCTATCTTGCTTATTTACTGGCGCAATTAAGTGTAGCACCAAAGAATAGACGAAAGCTGTTATTTTACAACCTACATAAACGATTGGAATTGCTTTCAATCAACGTTATTTAATTTAATTTGAGTAAAAGTAGAATAAATAAATAAATTTTGTTTAACCTTTATAATGCAGCTTATTTTTATAATGTTGCCGCTTACGTGTTTTTCTATGCTTATAAATAATGCGCACCACTCGAACGATACATACACAATATTACGTATGCATGCATAGGTTTTTTTAAACGACTTACATAGCAACATAACAATTTAGAATCTATAAAAAATGTTTCTTTTTTCGTCAGCAAACAGTATTTTATTGAATTTTTTCGTGTTTAATGCTGTACTATTAAGCATCTTTGTCTTGAATGTTGATCTCTTGTTGATTGAAGTTTCGTAAAGTTCCTAAATACGAAACATCTCGTAGGCGATCAAGTGGTAGTAACTAGGTTCGAATAAAAAAGATTTATTTCCACCTATCTTACGAAATGCCACATCAGTATGTGCGATGCCTTGATTCACACCTATTCGCACATGTGTGATTTGTTAAAAATTGTATCAAGCCTGGATATGGAATTTAGTTGGGATACAATATTTTGAAAAAAAAAATTAAAGTTAATTTTTGTTTTCTTTGTTGTTCTTTGGTTGATTCTGAAGTTAATGGGCTTGGAAATAATGATTTTGATGTTAATTAAAATGTATTTAAACTTATTTTTCAGTCATTCATTTGAGTATGTCAACATTCTTTAATTTTTTATTCAACAGATGGATAGATTATTTCAAGTGGCTGAAGCTGAATTAATAGCAGTTACGTCTATGGAAAAAAAAGAAATGAGCAATACAAGTTCACCAATTTTTGTTCGAAATGACAGTACTGTTTCTATTCCAACAGTTCCTTCTATAAATGCCAAAATAAAATTTGATTCGGATGACTGCAAGATTTCCGTAAATAAGTGTGAAACATATTGCGATATAGAACAAATATTTTTGTCAAACGCTGAAACAATGAACACAGAGTTGTCAAATGACTGCATTTCATTTTGTTTAAAAAATAAAGGCAGTGCTAATGTAGATCACGGCAATGTTCATTATGGAACTAATAAAGGTCCAGTCTTAATAAAAGCGGAGAATGAAACATTTTCAAATTGTTTTCACCAAAATAATCCTAATACGTTTTCTGCAATTGATGAAAATCCAAATAGCAATTCTGCGATGAAAAATGTCAACAAAAATGACAATGTTGATTCCTGTCTTTTTTCGAATTCTGTAGTTGATGAAAAGAATTTTTCAGATTTTGATCACAACGCTGAGTTAGATGCTGTCATTGATATTGGTGCAAGCAATGAAATTTATGTTTTATCAAAACGTGATGTAAACACTGATATAAACAAAATTAAAAATGATCTTGTTTTCAAAGATAACAATGAAATGAATTGCTCTCTTTCTAATAAAATAGAATGTTGTCTGCATGATCGCACTAGATCTGCGGTGAATGAGACAAACGGTGGTAACTATTCAGAAAGCGAGAAACATGTGGAAAACGGTGCTGATCAACCTGAGGATAATTTAATGACAGGATCTTTCTTATTTAGTCTTACTAAAGGTATCAAGAATACAGAATCCGCCACGCACGATTCACATGATTATGAGTCAAAATCAATGTGCGATGAATTGACAACAGTTGCTTCAAATTCCACAATGATCAATACCGAGTTTACATTACATGGATTGTCATGCGAATCTACTAATTATAGAAATAAAAATTGCAGTAATGATATAAATAAAAAACAAACTGACCTCGAATCTGCTTGCCGGGACAATTTTCTTCTTGATGAAACTTCTCATGAAAACGAGCATGTTAATATTTCAAAAAAAGGAACTGATGATGAAAAATTAATTGAACTTCCTACCGGTATGATATCATTTGAAAATACTGGTGTGTTAGAGCATCATAGTCTAAGAGCTCAACAAACATCTAAAAGAAGAATTACTTCATGTGAAGAGTCATTTGATCGAAAAAAAATTGTTATTGCCAGCAAACATGGGCATATGGAAGTTAAAAGTATAAATGAAGAAATTTTCAATATAGCTAGCAATGCAAATTTTGAAAAGGTTCATCCGTCAAATACCAACAATGTAGAGGGAAAAGAAAATTCAAAAAATAAGATAAAAAATAATACGGATCTTGCTGAATATCAACACAATTCTCCTAAATTTATTACAATTAAGGTCGATTGGTCCAATGTTAACGTTAAGGACGGGGAAAAACAAACGGAAATAAAAGTAGAACTGTTAAATAACTAAGTTATGGTTTGTTGACCGTAGCCGGGAATTAAGAATGAAAATTTTAGAAGGCAAGGAGTAAAAATTTATTTCCAAACAACGCCAGATAAAATTTAATTTGTTGAAGTGGAAAAGGGAGAAATTGGATACGAACTTATTGATAAAAAATTTGAAAGACGAACTAGAATTATTTAAAGCCGCTTACAAAAAATCGTTAGATGAAATTCAGATTTTATTTCTCCAGTTGAAATTTGGTAAAAAACAAGAAATAGACATTTCAGCAAAGAGTGAAGGTTTTCAAGACAACAATTTTTGTTTCATTTCAGACATTTCTTATTTGAATCAAGAGAGTAAACCTAAAAGAAAGTCTCAGCGAACTATTACTAAAAATGAATTGATGAGAGATAACGATGAAATAAAATCATCTAACGATGACAAGGAGGACATAAAATCAATTACATCAGTAGAAACAGTAGAGAGTTCAGATTCTAAAATTTCTAGAATCACTCGTAGAAGTGCAAATATTTCAAAGTCAGATTTGTTGGTCGAAAACAAGCTTGAAACATTATCACTTAAAAATGCCAGTGCAGAAAGCCTTTCAAAAATGTCTAAAACTTTAAGCAAAAAATTTGTAAAAGATATTTGTTAGACTTATATTTGAAATTTCAGCAGAACATTAAAATTTAAAAATATAACTTTCTGTAAGGCATTTTTTGCTACATTAACATGTTAATTCTTTATAAAACTGCATTTCGTTATAACAGATTTCATGGCATTTCGTTATAACAAATTATCATCGATAAAACCAACGCTTGAGTTATTGATATTATATGAAATAGACGAGTTAATGGTGCTATGCAGGCTTTCCATCTGATTTTGAAAGGCTCACCAGTGATTTTAACCAATTTGGTTGGGGTCGACAACTGCGTTTTTAATTTGTTAAATTTTAATTCTTAACAGTTGTTATCTTGTAAACATTTTGAACTGGATGAATTTTTATTTATTTGCCCTTTAAAAACGCGATCTAAAATTATTTAATTTTTTGTGCAAATTATGTTTTTTGATTGATGCATTCTCTACGCGAGATTGGTGCTTTTTACGAGTTACCATGTGTACAAATATTTTTGAGTCCGGCAACTACTACAAGTTTACCGATCATTATTTTAATCATTAATTTCAAAAGATCAAAATTCACCGATCATTATTTTAATCATTAATTTCAAAAGATCTAAATTGATTCATGCACTTAACGTAATATTTAATTCTAGGTTTATTCATCATATTGTGTGTGTGTTGTGTGTGTGTACTGTTGTAGACGTAAATTTCGGTCGTTGGTTGCTAAAGGTTCATGAAATGATCTAACTCTTTGAGCTGTATAATTTTCACGCCTGAAATTATAATTTTCACGCCTGAAATTATGTTTGATTATTTATATTAAAATATATTAATATATATTAAAAAATGAAAATATTTTAAAACATATCGCAAAAGAAGGCCCATTGATTTTTTAATTTAAATTAGACGACGTTTGTTTCAATTGAAAACTCGGTTGCACTGTTAGAATGTATCATATAAATAGAATATATTCTATTTATATGGAATGTACCAGACATTACTGTAGAGGAGCTTACTGAAGCTCTGAAAGCTATGAAGGATGGAAAGGCAGCAGGGCCCTCTGGACTCACAAATGACAAAGCATCTGGTATTTTAGGTATCCAAACGTTACTACAACTTTGCTCAATGCCGACTGAATGGAACTATAGCATGACAGTTCCGACATACAAAGGCAAAGGTGATTCTTTGAACTGTTCATCATATCGGGGTATACGCCTGTTAGAACACTCCCTGAAAATTGTCGAGAAAATCATTGAGAGAAGATTAACGTCGTGCATCACAATCGGAAATTATCAATTTGGTTTCCTAGCGGGTAAATCAACAATTAATGCAATTCACATCCTTTGACAACTGCAAGAGAAGTACCTCGCAAAGCATCAAAAACTATCACACATTTTTGTAGACCTTGAAAAAGCATTTGATCGAGTTCCCCGTGAAGCAATCAGGTGGAGTCTACGTCGACAACTCATTCCAGAATATCTTGTTCGACTTGTGATGGAAATGTATACGAGTACTAAGACTCTCGTCAGCACAACGGTTGGAAACAGATGCATTTGACATCGGCGTTGGAGTTCACCAAGGCTCGATTCTCAGCCCACTGTTATTTATAACTGTGATGGAAGAAATCACAAAACCGATACGCACTGTGACATTTGGAATCTAATATATGCTTATTATATCGTTTTAACAGCCACGTCTGAGCAGAATGCAGCCCAGATGTTTGAAAATTGGAACTCCAGACTGGCCGATCATGGATTCAAAGTCAACATCAGCAAAACCAAAGCAATGAACACTGGTGAACCCATTCAATACACAGCTACTGGACGATGGCCCTGTTCAGTTTGTGAAGCTGGGGTAGGTAACAATTCAATCAAGTGTCAGCAATGTAACCAGTGGTGTCACAAACGTTGTTCAGAAATAATTGGTACTTTTTCTAAAGAGTCCAATTTTGTTTATCCTGCTTGCATCAATCCACAGCAACAAATTCAAAATAGCAGTGTTTTTGAAGCCATTAAGGTAGAGAAAGTCACATCGTTTCAATATCTAGGGGATGTTCTGGATTGTACTGGAACAGCTGAAGCTGCCGTTCGAGCACTCATACGTGCAGCCTGGATTAAATGGCATCTCCTTGCCTATATATTGATGCGGCGTGACATACCACTACGATCAAGTCCTTATAAATTTGTGATGTTGTTATATGGTGCAGAAACATGGCCAATCACAACCAAACTGGAACAACAACTTCACCGAACCGATATGAAAATGCTCCGATGTATGCAACGAATTAGTCTGAAGGACCACATCAAATCTACCGAAATCCTGCGTCGTGCTGGTTTAGATGATATAAAGGACGAATGCCGGCAACCCCGTCTGTGGTGGTTTGGTCATGTCAAACGAAATGGAAACAGTGCCATAACTTCTCTTGCAGATGTTGAAGTACCTGGCACACGTCCCAAAGGCCGTCCAAAGAAGTCCTGGTCGCAAACAATCGAGCAAGACATGAAAGCTCTAATTTAAAAGGAAATGAATACAACTGATCGCCTAATTTGGCGCAAAATATTGATGGCAAAGAAATCAACGTTCTACCTCGGGGGACTGGGTCTCTGGACGCTAAACGAAGATTGATGGAATGTATCAATTGTGTTTCGTAAAAGGCGTACGTCGATATTTTAGTAATGCAATGGAATGGATTAATTATTCCTGAAATATTGCATAACACTGATATATTTTAAAACCCTTCTTTCAATTAAAAGCAAGAAAACCTACAAGATGTCTACCCTGAAAAATTATTGAGAAAATTTCAAATTTTTTGCTCGCTAGTAGCTGATAATTTAAAAAAATTACATTAGCTGTACTTATTCAAAACGTAATTACAAGTGTTTAAAATTATTCGCCAAACCATTTTGAACAGATTATAGTCCCACTATACTGTCTCAAATGTTTGAAAAAATGATAATTTATTCACCAGAACATATATTTAATTATTAATTAAGTCTCTTCAATCAATCAATCAATTAGCTTATAAAGCGCTACTTCCGCGACGTTCAACAGCGCTCCTCAATGAATTTGAAAACAGAT